CAATGATAATGGCCAGTGAGTTAATCAATTATGCCCATGTAATGAAGCCTCCATAATAACCCAAAAAGGATGGCATTCAGAGAGCTTCTGGGTTGGTGAACACGTGGAGATGTGGGGAGAGTGGCATACTCAGAGAGGGCATGGAAGCTCTGTGCCCTTTCCCCATACGTTGCCTTATTCATTTTTTCCATCTGTCTGTTCTTGAGTTATATCCTTTAATCATAAACCTTTAATTTGGTAAGTAAAACATTTCTCTGAGTTCTGTGAGCTGCTCCAGCAAATTAATTGTGAAAACTGACTTTAGTGGAGCCATTTTAAAATAGAGGCAGAGCTGCCTTTCTAGAGAAACTGCTTTGCTATCTTGAAACTTGGACTGGGCCAAAACAGCAATTGTTTTACAAGCAATTGTTTGATAAATCAGCAGGAGAACAGACATCCTGATCACAAAGACTGAACACTGTGGACTTGCTGAAGACAGAATCAATAGTCAATCAATGTTTAGCCAGGACTAGCTCTCTGCCTCCAATTCCAATTAAAATTCTTTGTACTACACCCTCCCTTTTTTCCTTTAAAAGCTCCTGATTTTTACTCCCTGGTGGGACACTATTTGGGTTTCTACTTGAATCTGTGCTCCCCTGAACTGCAATTATTTGATCCCAAATAAGTGCTTTGCCTTTTAAACTGGTTTCTAATTTTGTAGGTTGACATAATAGAACCCAAGGAGGTGGCTATGGGAACCTGCAGTCTATAGCTGGTAGGTCAGAAGCACAGTTGACAATCTGGACTTGTGATTGGCATCAGAAGTGGAGGCAGTCCTGTGGGACTGAGCCCTTAACCTGTGGCATCTGATGCTTTCTCTGGGTAGATAGTTTCAGAATTGAGTTGAATTGTAGGATACCCAGCTGATGTCAGAGAATTGCTTGCTGTTGTGGGGAAATCTCCCCTGGCCCTCACACCAGAATTTGCTGCAGAAGCTTATGTACCCAATTTTGTTTTAAAATGAAACCGCCACACATACACTAGTAAGTACACTAATCAGTTTTTAAGAAAGAGGAGATAATGACTGTCAACCCATCTTTCTTAACTTCAGTAAAGAATTTATCTAAGATACTGGCACATTTGTTATATTCACTCTCAGGAGGATTACATTCTTTGCAATTGGTAAAAACTACCATGAAAAATTTCTTAAGCATGGAATAAGTATTATTTAGGCATTTGCTTCTGGTTTTTAGATTACTGGAGATCTAGTGAGGCTTATAACTTCATAATATCCAAGAATTTTTTTTCTTTCCATAAGTTCAAGGAAAGGCCAAGAGCTTCATGGGCTTTTAAAGTGTTTTTGGATGCTTATGAGCAGGTTGTAAAGCTGATCAGGATCCTTTCCATTCAGTTTCCAGCTGGTCTCTCTGACAACTGTAGGGGAGGAAGACATTTCCTCTACCATCTCTGGGTTCATCTGGCTGGAGAACGAATTAAATTCACATGAGACAGAATAGCAGGAGAAAATTAAACAAAGCTTTATGAGGACCATGGCCCGGGGCATTTCTTCCAGAAGGAAGAAAGGGCACTGAAGAAGTGGGGTGCACAGAGTGTTTATATACCCCCAAACAGGATGTTTCACATATGATTGAAATGTCCCTCCCACAATAGTCCCAAGATTGGCCTGTCAGCACAGCGCTTTATGGACACAGCAGGTAGTGGGTCTGCTATCTTGGCAGGCATAGCAGGAGGCAAGTCTATTGTCTCAAGCTGGGTGGTCACAGGTGAGCACAGCAATCAGTTCCCAGCCTAAGGAAAGATGCTTAATCCTTAAGGAAACGCCAACGTTGGGAGGGGGAGGGAAGTTGCACCTTTATCTCAAGGGCCTTTGTTCTTGCCATAGTAAATGTTTAAAGCAGATATACAATGCGTGCTCAATGGCCACAGTCAGGCCCTTTTGGTAAAAAGCAAAGTCAGGCTGAATTAGGTTTACACCAAATGGCTTCCTCATGTACTCCAACACATCCCATTGCTTGCCATTTCTATTTGTCAACGTATAGATGGGAGAGGCTCAGGCAAGCCGAGCAACTGGCCAAAATGGCCAAAACCACCACCCCAAACATCATATCCAGCTAAAGACAAAGGAGGATGTTGGGGATGGGGGGAGTCAGTTACAGGATGTTACCAGACAAGCACGATAAACAAATGCAGATTTAAGTCCTTGCCTTCTCCATTGATTAAGAGATAAGGTCATCTCTCCTTCTTCCTGCTACAGAGAGGGAGATATCTTTACAGATGGAGAGTTCCTTTACAATGTAAATGTCTCTTACAAAGGGTAAGTAAATTCTGCTTTTCAGTTGCTTTCCTGTCTGCAAAGTAACGAGCCCCAAATAATCATCATGCCAAAAAGACATATCTTGGGGTGGCCAATTCCAGGCCCCCACACCCCAGAAATGCTTTCTATAAGAATCTGTCCAACTCTATCTTTAAAAGATGAAAGTCTAAGGTAGACTTTTTGAATCTCAGCCTGTTACATTTCTATCACTTTTCTAAGTATTTCTCTCTATAATTAAATGGTGACAGAAAATTCTGTTTACAGGATCTGAGTATTTAACTAATATAGAAGTAGCTTCTTCACAATCTTTTAATAGAGTCAAAATATTTGGTTTTAATTTTAACTTCTTTGCGGAAACTCTGAAATATCCACTTAAATAGTCACCTGTCTCTGTGGCATTGTTCAGGATTTGATGTTTCATATAATACTCTTTCAAACAATTCAAGCAGTTGAGTTCCATAGCCCTTAACTCGGCCATTTTAAGTTATAGTACAGATAGACTCTGTGAATCCTATGGATGGCAGTGTTACTGAAACCAAAGTGGGTTCCTTCTGGTAAGTTAAATCAGACTCTCCACCAGAAATAGTCTCACAAAGTAAAGCATCTTTGTGGCAAATAGGAGACCATGAGGAATCATTTCCAGAGTCATGGCATCCCCAAACAAGGGGAAGAGGGGGCCTTCATTTTAGATAAGTAATGAATATTCAAAAAGGAGAGGTGTGTATTTGCTTGCGCATGCTCAGCTGGAAAACATGATCCACATACACTGTAGGTTATGGTAATAAGGTCTAAGCTCCTCCTGGAGAGATCTTAGCATTAAAAATGAGGCAAAGGTCACAAACGTAGCTCTCAGCTCTTGTAGCGAGGCTTGGTGTGGTTCAGGGTGGCTAATGATTGTACCTCCTTAACATAACAGGAGGAAAAAAATTTGGAAAAGGAAAAATATCCAAACCTACCCTTGAGTTCCTTGGGGTAACTAGTTGGTGACAGGAGCATATGGAATAAGACACCACCAATTAATTACAATGGGACTTTTAATTAAAGGTTTCTTTAAGTCAATTAGATGCAACAGGACCTCCTTGGGCTTTTTGGTTCAGGGAATTACAAAGCCCATGAAGTTCAATTACACCCCTGTGGCTCTACCAGCTTCTCTGTCTCTTCTTTGGCCAATATGTTAACAGAAAGTTTGTTCATGTTCTAATATTGAAGTTGGTGCACAATGGTTTACCTGTTCTCCTTGATCAGTTATACTGGAATATCCTCCGTAACTCTGGGCTTATTGAGCTCTTCCAGGGTATGCGGGTCATTTATTTTCTCTTTTTTTCTCATTTTACCTCAAGTCTAGAAGAGACGTTGTAGGCGGGAATGGTGCTTCTCTCATTTGGTTGCTCAAGGGAAAAATAAATTTCATGACACAGTCCCACCACAAGTCCCACCACATGGAAGGCAAAAAAGGAGAGAAAAACACAAAAAAGGGCAGGGCAAATAGAAAGCCATGCATCCAATATGGCTATTAATGTCAGTCTGACTCTAGTGCCTTGATAGGTGATCCACTCTTTTCCCTCTGGAAAATTTCAGATTTTTCACTTTGCTGTCATTTGAAGTTTCAGATTTGTTTTTTCTTCAATGCCCAGTTTTTAACACCTGGGTCCTTTCCAAGGTTATTTTCTTATTTTTAAATTAAGAGAAACTTTTTCCATTATCCCTTTAAATATTTCCTCTTAACTGTTTTAATATTTCTCTCCTTCTGGAAATGCTATTATCTGGATATGGACAGTTCTACTTTTCTTCTTATCTCTTAATTTTATTTTTGTGTATTCTATTTTTTATCCTTTCTTGTGCTTTCCTGGGAGACTTTGTCCCTCCAATATTCCAAATTTCTAATTCATTAAGCAATATGTATCCATTCTACCGTTAATTCCACCTATTGTGACTATTTCTTGGTTACTTGGTTCTTTTAAAAGATTTTTTGTTACTGTTATAGTCTGCTGATAAATTCTCTTATTTTTTCGGGAGAATCAAGCAATTTCAAAGTGAATTTATAAACATGTTTTCAACATTTGTTAAAACTAAATTATAGTTAATGTGGGGCATGGCTGTATTTTATTGTATTTCATAAGATATAGGCTAGGATTTGTGAAGCATGAATGTCTACAGACCTCAATAAATCAAAATGTTGTTGTTCCTAATAGAGGCAGACTTTAAAAATGGCTAAGTGAAGAAGTAAAAACTAGGGGCTGCAGAATTATACAGAGTGTGGAAATAATAACTAGGGATATTGAAGAAGATTTTTTGGAAGAGTCTATATTTGAACAGGGATGGTTTGGCATCTTCTGCATTCAATAGCGGTCCCATAATGGGTATCCAACCATTAAATTTAGAAGTCACAGCGTTTGCAACACCTTTTGCAAATATACGCATTTCGTCTCTTTGGATGGTATGTAAATGTAACAGAAAGAAACTTGTTTGCTATCAGTAACTTGAGCTTTTTTATCTTTGTTCCTTCGCCTCACTGTAACTAGAAATTACTTCAGAAATCATCGACCTAAGTGAAAGATAAAAACAAAAGCCTCACCAGGCACCACCCTAACCTGAGAATTGAAAATTACACAGCTTTTCCTTCCTTAACAATAAAGTGAACGTGCGTCAGTATTGCTGTCTTCTCTTGAGCCCCCATCTGCCGGCTAGCTGCACATTACCTATGCCAACCCAGCTTTTCCCTTATCCCTCGAGCTCTTTCCCACTCCGCCACCTCCACCCTCCTGCTCACGTCGCGCATTTCCAACGCTCAGCGGCCGCCCGCGCGGCTCCGCCTTCAGTTGCCTCAACGCCTCAACTGCTGCTGTTCTGCCAGCCTGGCTCCAAGACAGCGGAGCCATGTTCCTTCTTGCGGTCCTTGTCACCGGAATTGGCGGGCTGCACGCAGGCCCTGGTAAGTCCGGATACTTGTTTCCCCTCCCAATCCAGGCTTCTGATGGGACTTGGCTAAGGGGCTGTAATTTTTGATCCAGCATCCTGGCCCAGACCTTAACCTGGCCCCTCGCTGTTGCCACCCACTTTCTCTTTGCCTCTCACTTCAGGGTCTGTGGCCAAGAAGGCAGAGGCAGCCTCCGGGCAGAAAATCTTTTCACCTCTCTGGGATGGTTTCTTTGTCTGTAAAATGGACAAAAATGATATATGTGGTCTTTTCTACATACAAAATTATGCTATTCCAGAAATAATTGTATCACCATGGAGAAGGTATCAATGATTTCCTGATTTTGGTGACTGCTGTCCTCCACCTGCTCCTTTGAAAATTGTAGATCACCCTTATATTCAATATTCTATATCTTTTCCCTGCAAATGATCCCGCTGTCTTGGTGCACTCGTGTTTTCTCATTTCTACACCTCTTTTACAACACTGTAATTTGTTACTCAGTGTTAGTCAGACTGCCTAATGAGGGGAGTGTGTGTGTGTGTGTGTGTGTGTGTGTGTGTGTGTGTGTGGAGAGAGAGAGAGATTGAGAGAGAAAGAATAAAAACTTGTGATCTTGACAAGGTTTAAGAAACTTGTAGGTAAGAATGACCAGAAAGACAATGGAAAGGAAGAGTATATGCAAAGATTATACAAAAAATATTTGGTAACATAGAGAAACAAAAGCAGGATTGGATTTAGAAATGGATAATGTAAAATTAAAGGTATCAAAATAACTTTGCTTATTTTTATTGTAGATCCTCATAAAACATTTATACAGACCACGGTTCCTGAGAAGGTTTCATCATCTGACTCAAAAGGAGATCCAGACAATAATGTAATTGGGAAATAATATTTTTATGTCTTAAATTGTGTTAAGTTGCCTTTAATGTCAAGACCAAAGTTGCTGAATGTAGGCAGGAACTCAGTTCTTGGAGGCAGAGCTGACAACTCCTTGTTCACAAGTATTTTGATGTGTATGAGTGGGTGTGACTCTGTATGTGTGTGTTTTTCCATGGAGGATGAAGGATTTCAAGGATAGGATCCAGCACTAGGCCAGGACTAGGGAGAGGCAAGCAAAGGGCTTACTCAGGCACAAGATTTAACAGGGTGGCAAAAACCTGGGGTTCTCCCAGGACTAGGATTAGGGTGAGGTGAATGAGGAACTCAGAGTCAGGTCCTGTCTTTGTTTGAAATTTTGATATTGTGTTCGTCCTAGATTTTTTTTTTTTTTGCATTAATTCTGATTGTCTAAAATATTGCAGTGAAATAGCATTTGTGTTGATTACTGAGTTTTCTAGCCCCCTAGTTCTAGCCCTGGTGATTCCCCCCAGCTACTTGCCTCAGCTTTCTGTAAGTCAGTAAGGAGCTGAAAAGTGATCTAGTAATTAGCTTATAGACGGTTTATCAAAACCAAAAAGAGTTCCCAGATTTAGCAAATAAAAACCTGTGTGCCCAATTAAATTTGAATTATTTCTCATTGCTCGTGTATATACATAAAGATAAAATTATTGCATGGGGTGTACTAAATTTTAAATACTAAAAATTATTTGCTATTCATCTGAAATAAATTATGAGTATCTAAATTATCTGCCTCTTTCTTGAATTGTATTTCCCTGATGATTTGACTTTCCATAACAGTTCTTTGTTTTGCAGAATTTGCTTATAAAATCCTTGCAGTTATTCCATTTATATTGTAACATAGTTTCTACAGTGGTCAATCCAATTTATTTCATTCTTCTTTCCATTGATCATTTGTTAGTGAGAAGACATACTGGACATTAGCATTGTGATATGGCATACTGAACATGTACTGACATTAAGTTAACAACTCTGATCATTGCTCTTCTTAACTTGCTTTTCTGTTCTTCACCATTGTGTCGTGCTTCTTAATCAACAACTTTTTAAACAGAACATTGTCATCAATTTTTCTTCCCTTCTTCTCTAACACTACGCAGGTTGATTCCACTTCTTCCCATGTTGGAAAAGTATTTAGTAACATCCAGATAAAAGAATTGAATTCTTCAAGGTATTAAAACTATTTCAAAAGAGAGAAAAATGCCATCAGCATTATTCACTTCAAGTTGGAATTTCTTTTCCTGTTCGTAAGTGATGTTGTCCCCTTTAAGAACAGAATTGACCCTCAAAGGCATACATTTGTCGGGGAGGTTCAGTTCTTTCTTCAACACATTCAGTTTTAAGCAATGGAATACTTCAATAACACTGTTTGCTCTTCTTCCAACTTGCAAAATCCTATTGCTAAAGAGAGAACTATGAAAAAGAAGTAGACTTCACTCAATGGATTATTTAAAAAGTCAACAAGAATTTTGGGGGCCTTGCTTTAGAATTAAAGCATGACTTCAGTGCTTCAAATAAACTTAGGATTCTCTCAGCTGCATTTGTTAAAAAGAGCCAACAGGTTTGGTGAATGCAAGAAACCTGAAGAATACTGGATGTCAACAAAATCACAAAAATCCTTTACTCACTCAGTTCAAACAGCATAGATGCTGAAGCAAGAGAACAATACCATGACAATGACCTCAGTGTCAGTAGAAAGTTTATCAGATGCTGTTTGAGCTACATCATGCAGAATATGGCCAGAACAGCCAACACCTTCCACAGACTCATTCACACTTTGCTTCAATTTTGAATAAACATTGTCTGCATATTTATGCAAACATCCACAAAAATTGGTATTATCTCCACCAAAAGCAGTATAATTTTTCTCATTAACTCAACTCAATAAGAGAGTCTGCAAAAGTTTGTTATTGTCTTTGATGCCCCATCTGGAAGGAATTTTACTTGAAAATAGCCTTAGAAGCAAACCTTTTTTCCACTAGAAAAATACTATACAAGCCAAGGGAACATTTTTTCTACTTTGTAATTACTTGCACCGGTGGCTGTGCCCCAACAAGGTGATATGTGTAGATCTTTGCTAATTTCTGTAATTGCAAAGGGAGCCATTATATTCTTTAATTATTGCAGTGGATTTCAAACTGGGACCTGAAAATTTGCTTGTAATTTTGGAATCAGAAAGTACTTCTGGTAATTTTACATTCAAATAGTCATTTGAGCAGAAGGATTTATGATACACAGTGTGGAAAACCAATACAGTGTCTGCTGCAATTCTTTTTTTTTTTTTTTTTTTTGAGGAAGACTAGCCCTGAGCTAACTACTGCCAATCCTCTTCTTTTTGCTGAGGAAGGCTGGCCCTGAGCTAGCATCCATGCCCATCTTCCTCTACCTTATACGTGGGACGCCTACCACAGCATGGCTTTTGCTAAGTGTTGCCATGTCCGCACCCAGGATCCAAACCTGCGAACCCTGGGCCACCGAGAAGTGGAATGTGTGAACTTAACTGCTGCACCACTGGGTGGGCGCCCATTTTTTTTTGAGGAAGATTAGCTCTGAGCTAACATCTGCTGCCAATTCTCCTCTTTTTGCTGAGGAAAACTGGCCCTGAGCTAACATCCATGCCCATCTTCCTCTACCCTATACATGGGACGCCTACCACAGCATGGCTTGCCAAGTGGTGCATAGGTCTGTGATCTGAACTGGGGAACCCTGGGCCACTGAAGCGGAACGCAGGCACCCAACTACTGTGCCACCTTGCACTCTTGTCTAGGAGCTGGGGCTGTCACTGAATGGTTCACTCTCAGAAACTTGGGGTTGTCATTGATTTGCCAGCTTTCAGAATCTGGTTATTTCAGTGCAGCTGCTGTTGATTGGCTGATTTTCTGATCATGTGCACTGACCGGAAGTTATCTCTAATGGAGGTCGCTTGTTCGTTTCTTGGGACTTTGGCCAAAGAATGGTGTTTTCCTTTCTTGAATATGAAAAATAAGTATTTTTAATTCTCAGTCCTCCCTTTCAGACTTCTCTCAGACAACCCTACAAGGAGAGATAAGGGATTGTACGGGTCTTTACTTGCGGAAGCATGATTTTCAGCTAATGTTGCCATTTAAGTGATTTAAGCACCTGTTACAGTGGTGGAAAATAGCTCTGACTGCCAAATTTTTGTCATTTATTGGGAAGGTATGATATGATATATTTAGGATGTTCTGACAAAGATAATACACTGGACAAAAATCGTTAAATTCAGGGTGTGCCCATATATACAGGATGCCTGGCAATCCTACACACACACCAAGGTGTTGAGGAATGAAAAAAATTAATTTGGGGCCGGCCCAGTGGCACAGTGGTTAAGTTCACATGTTCCACTTTGGCAGCACAGGGTTCAGCAGTCTGGATCCCTGATGCAGACCTATGCAACGCTTGGCAAGCCATGCTGTGTCAGGCTTCCCACATATAAAGTAGAGGAAGACGGGCACACGTGTTAGCTGAGGGCAGGTCTCCCTCAGCAAAAAGAGGAGGATTGGCGGTGGATGTTAGCTCAGGGCTAATCTCAAAAAAAAAAAGACAAAAAAAATAATTTATTTGCATATTTATGAGTGTACCAAATGACTTCTCTGAGTTAGATATAGGAATTAAGGCAGCCTAGGCTTGTCATTCCAAACCTTCACTTATTGTTTGATCAAATAGGACCAAAAAAAAAAAAAAAAGTGGCCCAATTATTTAGTTTCACGGGCAAAGAAAGAAGTAATACTTATTGCTTTTCCTTTTGTTCTGTCTTCCTTGGTTCCTGGGCAGAAAAGTGTCATGGTAAAACGTTTTGCCCTGGACACATATTAATAACAAAGGTCGATGTAATAATGACTCCTCCTGGAGCACGAATTGACTGAGCCAAGGCTATTCAAGGGGAATTTGGAATAGTAAGATAGAGTCTCAGGAGATTATATAGCATACCAAATGTATGCCAACTGAAACTGCTCTTTACACCCCCTTGGCATTCGATTTTTATTAATATTGTTTGGTATTTACTTTTCAGTATCCTACAGGTATGGTGTAATGTGCTCATGTTGTTTAGCTTTATTTAAATAACAATATTTGCATACTTTTTTCAATCATAACCACCAGAACCCTTGTTCTATTTTAAATGAATTTTGTGAATGATAGTGGTATAGTTGATTCCTTCTACAAGAACAACCAAAATGAACAATATGGACAATCTGTGTCATCATTCCTGCAACTGGAAGTTTTGCTAGTAGAGCAAACTAGTGAAGACTTGTCCAGGAAAAAACAGTATGACCCAGAATATCCTTTAGCTCCTCACACCCCACCAACTACCCTGCCCTCATATGAAACAGTGAAGATGGGAAATTCATCAATTCCTGCTTACTTAGAATTATTACTGTGCTTCAGAATGTCTTCCAATTCATTCCAGCAACAATGCAATATGTTCTTAAGAGGGATTTATAGGTTGATTTCTGTGATTAATTTGATTCAAATTTGGTGTTTCTGGAAATATTCCATAGAGGATTTTTGGGACCTCAGGTGTAGATATGTATCCCCGCCTTCATTTCATAGCACACTATGATTAATGGTCCCATCAAGCCTCTTATTCTTATATTTTCTCCCTTATTCCTATTCCCCATTCTCATTTCCCTCTTCCATCCAATGACAGCTATACCAATGATACTTGATATATTTATTTATGTATGTATATATGTTTGTGTAATATTGCAGTAGACAGAATTCTAAATGGCCCTTAGGATTCCTACTCCCTGGTGCATGCACTCTGTGTAATTCCTTCCCCTTGAGTGTTAGTGGGACCTGTAAATATGATGGGTTAGTTTGTGTTATACAAGACTCCATTGCAGCTTTCTGGAGTATTTCTCCAGCTGGCCTCAAAGAAGACAAAAACTGCCATGTTGTGAACATGCCTATGGGGACCTTGTGGCAAGGAAACCTGGCAGCCTCTATGAGCTAGAAGCAACC